GCCATGGCTCAGGTCAGGAGGACAGTCACAGTTTGATGCTCAAGAGGCACTGTTTTCTTCTTCCCTTTAGTCAGGTACCCCACCCCAAGAAAGTCCTGCCCCCTCCAGCAGAGGGCCTTCCAGACACCTAACCCTGGCACATACTCCACTGTGAAGACAGACCAGAGATCTGGCACTCCAAGCTTGCTGCACAAGGTGGCCCGTATCTAACAAACCTGAGTTTAGCTGGTCCCCAAAGCTGAGCGTAGGCTGGGGACATATGATACGGTTATAAAGCAGTTTCTGAGTACCCCTTCCCTGGACACTCCCAATTTCAGGACAGGGGACATGAGTTGTGAATTAAGCAGTTTGGATAGATGTTCTATCCAGCAAATACCAAGATAGTTAAAGCCTTCATTGGTGGGGGCCTGGCAAGAATGCTCTGCCTTTCTGGGTATTGAAGCCTTGACTAAGCAAGAGCCAGGTTCGAGGCCCAGGAGCCCCTGGCTCAGTTACTACAAAATCTCAAGTTTATGCATAAGCTACTGCCAAGGCTCTGTGGCTGAATGACAGAGCCTCGGGCTCCACTCCACCCCTCCCTGGGAGGGAGGTAACAATTGGAGATTTGTTTTGGGCTAGGCCAGCCTGGACACAGCCTCCCTGAGCTGTTGAGTCCGCCAGGAGCTTTCCTGGCCTCTGCCATTCTGGGACAGTGGTTGCTAGACTGAATGGCTTTGTCACCTCTGTACCCAGGAGAGAGGTGAGGGGTGAGGCTGCAGGGCCCCAAGCCAATGCTGCACACTTTCCCCTTTGTTCCAGGCAGTTGGGGGTGGGGGTGGGCTTGATGTTTGTACTCTTGGTGCTGGAGCAGATCTCCGGGCCTTGATACCCTGTAGGAGGCACAGGGTAAAGCTGTGCTCTCTGAAGCCACAAGCTGATTAGTGGGGGATTTGGGGCTGACCCAGTGAGGGGCAAGGAAAGGCGGAACCCGAGGGTGGCTCAACCCTGGATGAGGATGGTCTTGGGGCTGTTTACATTGTTTGTATATCTAAGCTGGCCAAGAAGAAAAAAGATTTTTCCATTTATAACAGCCACCTCCCTGGTTGAGGACATAAGGATAGTCTTATCCACAATTACCAGAGAAAGAAACCGAGGTTCTAGGAAAACTACTTCCTTCACAGAGGTGTCCACTTCTATCTAAGGCAAGCTTCACACTCCTACAGTGCCCAGAAATGGTTGTGAAGTCCTGAAGCCCGAGGACTTCTGCCCATTTGGGACTGGTGGGAGATCGCACAGAACATAGCATAAGAGAGGGGATTACATCGACCCCATAGAACACCTCATATCTTGACAGTCTTGTCTTGGACTTTACTAGCCTCAGTTTCCCCTCTGTAAAAGGGAGGGCTAAGGCTGGGTGGTGGTGGCACATGTCTTTAATCCCAGTACTCGGAAGGCTGAGGCAGGCGGATGTCTGTGAGTTCGAGGCCAGCCTGATCTACAGAGCTAGTTCCAGGACAGGCTCCAAAGCTAGAGAAACCCTGTTTCGAAAAACAACCAAACAAAAAAAAAAAGGGAGGGCTAAACCATGTCTGGGTCTCTTTTTGATGAGTTCCCTTAATCTTCATGCTACCTGCGAAGGTTAGAAGCATGTTTTTTGGGGGTGATGGGGAGACTCAACACATAACCTTGACAAAGTCACTTTTCTCTGAACTTTAAGGTCATCGTGGACTCGCATTCCCCCACAGTGCAGTAGTGAGGATCTCAAGAGAAAGTGTCTAAAGTAGTTGTGTCTATTCCCTTCACACCACAGGGATGGAACCCAGGGCCTCACACTCCTTAGGTAAAGGCTCTACCCCTGAGCTGCGCATGCCCCCAGCACTGGGAGGTGCTTTCCTAATTATCCAAGTGCTCAGCAGAAAGCTGAAACAGAAGCCCCGGGCAGGGCAGGCAGCCACACTAGATGGCTCAGCTCTGGGCCTGACACCCTGAGCACCACTCACCCTCCCACCCCAGTGTGTGCTATCTCCACACACCAGATTCCAGACCAATGAGAACTTTAATGAGTAACAACTCAGCATCTTGGTCCCCGCAAAAAGCACAGGCAGGTAGGATGCAGGCTTCAGCTGAGACTGAAGGTTACTCAAGGTTACTCAGGGCCCAGCAGGTCATGGGAATTCAAGAAAGCAAGGATGGCTTATGAAGCAACTATAGGGACTGGCACACATATTTTGGGTTTGTTCTCTCCAAATTCCACTTATTTATTTAGGGGCAGGGCCTTAGCTACTAGCTGAAAGTCACCATATACACAATGCCAGAATCAAGTTCAGAGATCCGCTTGCAAGCCTGCTTGGCTTTTTTTTTTTTTAACTTTTAAGTTACATCTACTTACTTATTTGTGTAGGGTGGGGAGAAACACATGCCAGTGTGCATGTGGAGGTCAGAGAACAACTTGCAGGGATCGGTTCTCTGCTTCTACCATGTGAATCCCAGGGACGCCAGGGATGAACTAAGATCCTCAAGCCTGACAGTAGTGCCTTCACCGGGTCAGCCATGTCTCTAGGCTCCCCCACCGCTCAATTCTAGCCCTCTAGTGATTAAAACTGCTGTCACTCCACAGTTGAGGCAACTAAGCTCAATGAGGATTCAAAACCTCATTGTGAGCCTCAATTACGTTCTTCTACCACTGGATCCTGAAGAATCCTGTTTTTTTTTTTTTTTAAAGTCCTCTGTTGGGTGAAGAGACTTACCAGTAGCAAAAAGGGCAACAGGGACTAGCCTATGGGTTAGTCTAGCCAGGACGGCCACAAAAAGGGAAACATGGAGGAGGCGAACCCCTGTTGGCCAAGGAGAGCTTGCCCCTCCCTGCTTTCCACTCAGGGGAGTTCCTAACTAGAGGAGTGCATCAGAGACATGCCGGACATTTACACAGCTCTCCAGGATTCCGTTTTAATGTATGGCACAAAAGGCTATAGCCCTGACTGAGAAATCAGCAGTCTCCAAAGGACTTTTTTTCCCCCCAGAATGTACACAAGATAATTAAAATAAACCTAAACTGGACATGGTAATGCATGCCTTTAATCCCAGCACTGGAAGGCAGAGGCAGGTGAATCTCTGAGTTCAAGGGCAGTCTGGTTCACTGGCCTACATAGTGAGTTTTAGGACCCTCTCTCAAAAACAAACAAACAAAAAAAGAATTACTACAGCTGCTCTTTTGTGCTTCCAGTGTCGTTTTATTTAAGCACAAAATCTATTGGTATAAACAGTTCAAGTACACGAATTCAGCAGTCCAGATATAAACCATGGGAAGGAGGTATTCCACGGTTTCCCGGTGGAACCAGTGGAAGCACACTGGAGTGGAAGCATTGCTCCAGACACCACAAGGGCTGCCGGAGAAGTTAAGCAAACTCTCCCGGCACCACACAGTTCAAGAGACCCTAGTGAAAAGAGCTCAGACCTTAGGATCTGTGCGACTTTAGGAAACTTACTTCCGTCTGTGTGTTCCTGGGGAGGAAGCACAGAACGACATGGAAAAAGCAGTTTAGCCATGAGCCAGCGGCGGCCGATTTTCGCCTTCACTCTTCTGCACTCAGAATATTCACCTTATCCACTCAAGAAATAAGTATTTGGTCGAGTATGGTGGTGCCTGGGTGGCAGAAGCAGGAGGATCTGAGTTCGAGGCCAGCCTAGTCTATATAGAGCTCTAGGGCAGCCAGGGCTGCATAGTAAGACTCTTGTCTCCAAAACAAAAACAAAAATAAAATCCGAGGAAAAAAAGCGGACAGATCGACCCGGGTCTGGCAATATAGTAAGACTGCTTCCTTTTGAAGAAGCGGGAGAGAAAAGTTCTATGTGGAGAAACCTAAGATAACTGTTTAAGTGGCCTCTGAAAGACTCTGGGCCTCAGTCTTTTGTTTTTTGTATTTTTACTAAGTTACATCGTATCATCGTGGCTCTATAAAGACAGTCAGTAGGACCATCGGGAGCTAAATAGATCTTCCTTTACGTACCACTCAGCTCAAGTTCGTGGGCTAAGGAACAAATCACAGGAACTCAACAGGCATGGGGGAGCCTGGGCTCACCCTACTAGGTCCCATCACACACCTTCACAGCCCACAGTAAGGGCAGCCCGGGATTTAGCCCTTGTCCGCGCGGTTCTTAGTTTTAAAAAGGGAATGGGGCGGGGGCGCGTGAAGGTGCGCATCCTTTTGCCTTCCTGTACTAAGACGGGAAAATCCAAATATTTTAAAATTTTAAAAAGCGACTAGAACAAACTCTACACAAAGCAAAGGCTCGACAGGAAAGAAACAATTTCGCACACCCTGGAGGGGTACAGTAAGTCGGCTCCCTGCGGGGCAAGCCTGTTCACAGGTGATGAGAGATTCTATCTAGACAGTGGCTAGCCTGGGGAAAAGGCCCCACATCCCTGGAGGACTGCGCAGCGTGCAGTCCCCCGACCCAGGCCTGGAGGAAGTGCCTTCACCTCCTAGCCACCCCCAAGGCCCGGGTTCCGGGCGCAGCGCGGGCTCCGGGTGGGTCCCGCCTCCTCCGCGCCCTGCC